AGCATGACTCGGGTTTTCTTGCATTTCTTTTCAGCTGAATCTTACGAAAGGCTTCGAAGCATTCAATATTTTATATAGCCTAATAAACATTCTAAACATGTTAAGTCAATAAATCACAATTATTAGTGCTAATGGGGATCTAAACAAACCCCTTACATGCATTAATACTCATTGTGCAACTCGCAAACACCTAGAAAGCGCCTGAGCAACACCCTGGCAACCACCCAAATCACCATAGCAACATAGCGGTAGTGCGTTCTCAAAAGAATGAAACACTCAAATTTCCTTTAGAAAATATAAAAAGTGGAGTTTACTTTGAAACCTGCCACTGTGTAAAACTGAAAGGAGAGGAGTTCACAACAAAACGTCTCCTGTTGTCTTCGGACAGAAGAACGGCTTCGGGGGGAAATATCACAGCTTGTGTTGGCTGAGATGCTGACGGCTTCTCTCACACACTAAAAGAGTCGTGGCCAGATCAGCTCTCAACCTCGACCACACTTGTGTTGGGCTGAACCCGGCGGGCACAGCTCAGCTCCCATGAGCCTCCTCTGCCAAGCTGCGCCCGCACATGTCGACGCATATGAAAACAATTACATTAATTGCATGTCTTTGGCTACTCGTGCTAAATTACACAAGCTAGTGAATTAAGGGCCATTTACATAGTTGAATTCTCCCGTCTCAACCTCTGAAACGCTGCCGCTGATTAAGTAAAGCCAGCAGAGTTTGCATCTAGCGCTCAAACCCACCAAACGAGCCCTCGTTACACACACTGAAACTGATCCTGGGTTTGGAATCGCTGTCAAGCCTAGGATTGCTGCAGTATATGCACATTTACCATATACAGTATGCAAATTTCCTATATACATGGAATATCCAAATTAGGGCTACACGATATATCGTTTTAACATCGATATTGCGATGTGCGCATGTGCCAGTCACATCACTGGATGCGCGATATCAAGTATAATAATCAGATTCGCAGATTAATTGCAAAGTTTAACCATAATATAGTGAAAGTTTATCATTTGCATGTGTTTTAAGTCAAGTCAGGCAAACGCAAGAGGACTGTGTGTATAGCTGTCAACATTTGGTCGCTTTCAGGTTAAGATTTCCGCGACTGCGTAACTGGGTTATAGGTTGCCAGGTTGAGATGGCAAACGGGTTGAAATTGTATATGGTGTTTTGGATTGTGTGAATATAATTCATTTAATACAATATCTGGCAACTGATCAACATTAGACAAACATACTGGTCCGATTATTCATAAAGGAGTTTGGGCCATGCAAATTACAGGAGTTTCCCGGGGGAAATATTAAACCGAGAAACCCAGGAAAAACAGGAGTGTTGACAGGTATGACACAGACACACACACAGCGGCGCAGACAGCACGTGAACTCCAAATTCAGTTCTCTTTTGAGCTTAAATGGACACGTGCAGGCAAGATGAAGTGAAAATGCCCGTCTCGGTGAGTATCCTCGGTTATTAGTTGTAAACAGATCTTAGGTCTGTGCATTCATCTTAAAGTGGCAGCAGCCTAATGTACTGTTTGTGTCAGCTTTAAGTCAGAAAATGACTTGTACTTTAACAAATATAAATTATATTAGTTATATTAGTTATTTTACTTCTGTAATCCATTTCTGTGCCTGAATACAGTGAGATTTACCTCAAAAACAAAAAGCACTGCTTGCTTTCTTCTATTGTATTTATCTATGCTTGCAATTTGTTTATTATTTTTTTTCTATGCCGATTCAATCCTCTACAAAATCAACCTAATTATTTTAGAATAATTAATTATTTTCTAATATGTATATATATATATATATATATATTAGGGCTGTGCAAAAATTAATTGTGATTAATCGCATCCAAAATAAAAGTCTGTGTTTACATAATATATTTGTGTGTGCTGTATATAATTATTTTGTATATATAAATACACACACAGGCATGTATACATTTAAGAAAATGTGTTATTCATATATAAAATATTTATATTTATATAATATAGATTTTGTATAAATATATATATATATATATATATATATATACACAGAATTTAACCACAAATAATTTTTAAATATATACATGCATACATATGTATTTATATATACAAAATAATTATACACAGCACACACAAATATATTATGTAAACACAGACTTTTATTTTGGGTGCGATTAATCGCAATTAATTTTTGCACAGCCCTAATATATATATGAAGAGTTCAGATGCAAAAGCCTCTAAATGCCATTTGAAATTTTCTTCTTTAATGATGATTTTTAACAAACTTGTATATTTAAGTTCAGTAATTTCACTTAAATAACAATTAATAGGTAATCTTCATTGCCATTTAAGTGAAATCACTGAACTTAAATATACAACAAAATATACTGAACTCTTCATATATATATATATATATATATATATATTGCAATGCCCTATGACCTACTTGGAATATTATATCCCATAATGCAATGCTGTGCACTCAACCCTCTATTCCACACACAGCGTGAAAGAAAGGAGAAGTATGAGTAGTACAGTACAGTAGTATGTTATTCTCTCTCTCTGGTCATATGTCTAGTTGAGTGTGTTGTGTTGAGGTAAATCACTGCTGTGTGTGAGTCCGTGTTAAACAGCCTGTGTGTCCAGATCGAAGCTCGTCCCCTCATAACTCACGGTGCAAGTGCCCGACGCGACACGCTCACAAATCACACCCGCAATTAATATCCTCAATGAGAGCGCAGAGCCTTCTACAGCTCCTGAACTTTATGGCGTTTCCATTGATCACCGTTCCACAACAACAAAACGCTGCTTATTTATCGCTCTGGAGTGTTACTCAGGCCCTGATTAAAACATCTGTCACATACAAGACGCTGAAAAGGGTAAATGATCACTGGTGTTTCCATTAGCCTCCAGAGAGAGAGAGAGAGAGAGAGAGAGGGGGGTCAGCGGAGCCACACCAGGACACTTGAATAGGGATTAATTTTGATGTGAATCAAATCAGGTTACAATGATTTAAGCAGATTGTGCTGCGGTGACACTGACCTGAGACCAGCCTGACTGTAACTAAAGCCAACAGGTTAACGAGGAGGACTAATTAGGTTTCCTAGACTCACTGAAAACACACACGTACTGAATCTACAGCATAAAGAAATAAATAAACAGATTAATCAATGACAATTCTTGTTTTTTTATGGAACATTGAAGTGTTTATTCTAAATGATTCATCATTTTTGTGTTGAATTCATGTTCCTGGTAATGTTGAATGAGGATCAGTTCCTCTCGCAGCATCTTTTCTCTTCTCTGATGATGTGGGCGGGGCCACCTGTCACTCACATGAGATCAGCCAATAGCAAACCACAATCATCCAATCAATTCCACCACAGACACAATCAAGCCCCGCCCACATGTGTTCTTGTTCCAGAAGCGTTTATACAGAACAATAGAGAAGAAACAAAAAGCACAATTATCGTTTCATGCCGACTTTAATGTAATTCCTAATCTAGTTGTCTAATAAACCTGGCATTGTGCTTAGCGAATATTGTTGACTCTTGTTGACACAAATTGCTTTTGTTCCTCTTGTTCCAACGCATAAATGCACTCTAAACAGTGTGACTCAAACAAATGAACCAATTTTTGAAATGAATCAATCAAAAGATTCACTTTATTGGTTTGAATTAGTCTTGCTGAATTCATTGGACTGATTTAAGCTAATTAGTCTAGTGAGGGACTTCCTGATAACCTGATTAACAAACATTACCATTCTCAAAAAAAATTATAATAAGTGGACTTTAATGGTAAAAAAAAAAAGCGTGATTTTGAATGAGATTTCACTTATTGCATGTCGTGATAAAAAAGATGTGATTTATAACTTGTCGTTTTATTGCATTACATTTCAGGTTATTGCCCTGTCTCACATGATTTTAAGCATATGCAATTATTTCAGACAAATACGAGCAATAAAGAGTGTTTGTGAGTTATCCTGATGAGCAGTTTGTAGATGTATTATCAGTGTTTCCTGCAGTAGAGGAGTGTAGACACTACATGTGCACTGCTGGACGACTGCAGACGCGGACGAGAGCGATAGATAATGTATTAGTGGTGCTCACCTGTGCTGTTCATCTAGCGTGACTGAGTCATTTCACACAGTGAAGGGCATCTCTCATTCACACACACACACACACACACACACTGAAGAGCTCCTCCATCTAAACTAAGAATGAGCAGCAGTACATCAGTATCTGCTCCCAGCGTCTCTTTATGCTGAGAAAACATCTCGTTCTGCCACAGCTCTCCGTTGGAAAGTGACAGACAGAAACACTCGGGAATTCTGAACCAGAGTTTTCTAAACCCTTTTGACTTGAAAAAATAAAAAAAATAAATAAATAAAACAAAATAAATTTTTTTATATATATATATATATATATAAATGTAAAAAAATAAAAATAAAACAATGTAAAATGAAATAAAATATTAAATAAAATAAAAAAGTATAATATAAAATTATATTTTAAATACATTAAATTATATATATATATATAATAAAATACATATTTAATATAAAACAATAAAGAAAATGAAATAACGAAAAATAAAAAAAAACAAAATACAAGACAAATCCCTTTGGGAATCCCTGCTTTAATACATCACATTCACTGAGTCGTTAGAGTGACTGAAGTGAACAAACCCTTCTGGCGTCACTGTGTCGAGTGTGTGTCTGTCTCAGCGTCTGCAACAGCGACGTGTCGAGACATTAGTGGAGTCTGCATGAGGGATGCCAGATGAATTGTTGGAAAGAGTGAGATCAGCAGCTGTTTATAAACACCGAGCGCTGTGATTGGTGAGATTATAGATGTGTGCTTTTGTTTAGAAACACTAAACATGACCACAAGAATGTAAACGTCACACAATGAAACGAAAGGAAACATCAGAATTTGAGTTCCTGTTTATGTCGGAACAGTGTGTGTGTTGTTAGTGTGTGTGTGTGTGTGTGTGGACTCACAGGCGATGCGGACGTGGGCCTTTCGGCTCTTGGTGGTTCCCGCTGAGCTCCAGGCCACACACTGACACCAGAAGTCCTCCAGACCGAACATTTCCTCCACTTGCTGACGGGTGATCTCGATACTGGCCTCCCGAACCACCAAACCTACACAAACACACAGAGAGAGAGAGAGAGAGAGAGAGAGAGAGTCACCGACACTGAGACATCGAGGTTCTGCAGTCAAACGCTCATACGCTTGACCTCTGGCTTTTAGTGTCACTATATACATATATATAAATAATTAATTTGTAATATACTTTTTTATATAAAGCTGCATTTTCATACATCACTACATATCATAGATTAGCTGATGCATTCTCGTACCATCTCTATCCTTATACTTCCTTCTACTTTACGTACATGCCTTAATTAGTGCCGTCACAGAACGCCACACGTCATACACAAACCGCAGAGGCGTAGAGATCATCAAGAGAAGTGTGATTTGTTAGATGTGTTGGAAGAGGGACTTTTATTTTGACGGTGCTCTGGACTTTTAAAATATGCTGTGCTCTATCCAGCATAGACATCAATAATAAAGGCTAGGCGTCTCTATCGTCATCACTGGCGGCCATTTTGTCACAGGCAAGCCTTCTGACGGGCTCTGTGGTTCCTAATGTAAGATGAGTGATCAGAACAAACATAAACACTCTTATCTTGCAGAAATCTTGGCGCATTTACAAACGGTTTGGTTTCTTACAAACATTATTAACGAGGCTCTAATTGTGGATGATTATTTATTTATACACTTATTATTAATTAGTATGCAGTGTCATAACTACATCTCTGATGTTCATAAGAAACCAAACCGTTTGAAAATCGGTAGAAAATTGAGCAAGTTACGGGTATTTAAAAAGTAGATACACTAGGGATGCACCGATCCACATTTTTTCACTTCCGATCCGATCCCGATACCTGACTTTGGATATCGGCCGATACCGATACTTTTCCGATACCAGACCTGTGTTTGCTTTAACATTATTTATCATTATTGTTGATTTTATATGATGCTGAAATAAACACCTCTCTACAAACAAGGATGATACGTACGTATGTAGCCTATGTCAATATATATATATAGATATATTAAACAATAGATAGACAATTAAACAAAGATATACGCATTATACAGGCCTACACAGTGCTTTAATTTCAGGAAGGTCTACTAACATTCAGGTATATCGTCTAAAAAGAATTATAATAAACTAATCAAAAGTAAAATAGCACTGCAAAGTTTATCATAGATAGATTTATGCTTATTAAAGCTGAAGTTATTCATTCAAGAGCTGTGAGTGATTTTCTCTTTGCCTTTGGTTGTTTTATTCTCAGTAATGTCGCAATCGTCACATTTATACTGCTGCCCCTTTAAGAACTAGTGCGGATTTCATAGTCTACTGATGCACCATATTTTCTCCCAACTATTTCCATAAACCGTTTATGTCTAAAATGAACGTAGTTAAGTGATAATCTCCAAGCCGGTCGTTTTGACATTTTTGTGCAGGCTACATTTGATCGTTTAGACGCGCATATGAAGCCCAAAGTATAATTTGCTTGTCTGTTTCGGAGCGCGCGCCGCCCTCTTGCGCAAATTTTGTGCTTTTAATAGCTCTTTTTATTATTAAAAGCGTCCCGCAATTTAGCAACAGCAGAGACGGCATTTTACAACAATTACCGATCGTGCTGATTCTGTCTTAAAGTTTGAGTTTTACGGAGAAATGACAGTGCACCGCCGCGATGGGAAGGAAGTTGGCTACACAGAATGCGGCTATTGTTTAATGTTTTTTTTTTACCTCAATATATTCTTTAATCTTTGGAAATCAGACTAATATCACAGATCTAAAGTGTAACCAGGCTATGTTTCCTCTGTCGTCACTCATTAAACAGGGCTGTCGTGTTGTGCGTGCTGTGGCACCGCGTGAGAGATCTCTCTCTCTTTCTCTTCTGGACTGCGAATTGCAAACATGCATCATCACAGACAAATAGTTTAATTTATACGGCTTTGCAAACATTGCATTTTGCTGTCTTGCTCTGCTGCGGTGTTTCCAGTGTGAAGTATTTCCACCATAGGATTTCCACACAGCGAACATATTGGTAGCTCAATGCTATCCTGCTAGCTGGCTGCAAACTGCGGAATGGATTTCTTGAGCGGGCGTCTGTGTGTCTCATTGAGCCCTATTTTTTACAGTCTATGATTGAGCTGCACCTCCGTTCAGGATATCCATTCCACAGTTTGCAGCCAGCTAGCAGACTAGCAGAGGAATCCCTTTTGGAGTCATTTCAGCAGCCAACGTTAAAGCCCAGACATGGATCATAAATATCGGATTTCTCCGCAGGTTGGATCGGAAAAATCCGATACGTGAATTACGCTGGTATCGGTCCCGATACCGATACTGGATCGGATCGGCCCCATCCCTAAGATACACCATTAAAACACAATGTTACGAGTGAGCCAGCTGCCTGTAGCAAGATGGCCGCCAGTGCGGACATCTAGCCTTTATAATGGAGATCTATGATATCCAGTATCCCACTATGTCATATTCATATAGTTTTCACTGTTTGCTGTATGTAAAATTACATTACCTTGTCTTTATGTGATAACACATGATTACCAGTGCGCACGAAATGACCAGATTACTGAGTGCCGTTACAGTGTTTACTTCCTTTTTATTCACATATTCATATATTTTTAAATAATTACTTTATTTGTGAAAAATACTGTAATAGGATTGCAGATTCAAGAAGTTGCCATCTAAAGTATAAGCATGTTTATTTTAAAGATTTTTTGTCTTAAGATATTTTAAAGATTTATAATTTACAGGTGAAACTCGAAAAATTAGAACATTGTGTAAAAGTTCATAAATTTCAGTAATTCAACTTAAAAGATGAAACTAATATATTATATAGACTCATTACATGCAAAGTGAGATATTTCAAGCCTTTATTTGTTATAATTGTGATGATTATGGTTTACAGTTTATGAAAACCTTTTCACGATATTCTCATTTTGAATTTGGAGTTTCATAATCATCACAATTATCACAAATAAATGGTTGAAATATCTCAGTTTGCATGTAATGAGCCATCTAAGGGCCAGTATCGGTCGCCGCTAGTGTGATTAGAGCTCGTCTGTGTTTGAGCAGATCGAGGGCCAGGATGATTGAGCTGTTCTTCTCAGTCACGTCAGGCCGAATCCCGTTGGCTAAACTCCTCTGATTATTGTTCATCTGGCCTCTCAACACACGAGCGTTCGCCTTCAGCCCGGATCCTCCTCTCGAAACGCTACATTACAACCCCTGCTTCATTCTTCACGCCTTTAGCCTTATACATCTCATCGTTTATGGTGGCGATACAGAGTGTCTAATCCAATCAGGAACATTAACACTGTCTCGGGATGAGCGTGTAAGAGGAGACGCTGAATCGGCCCGAGCGAGTGTGTGTCCATGTGAGTCGAGCCCAACGGGTCCCAGAGGCGGTTTTGGTGCACAGGTTCTGACTGGTTCGTTTTCGGGCACAGGTTCTGATTGGGTCATTCTCTCTGATTGGGTGGTTTTGGGGCACAGGTTCTGATTGGGTGGTTTTCGGGCACAGGTTCTGATTGGGTCATTCTCTCTGATTGGGTGGTTTTAGGGCACAGGTTCTGATTGGGTTATTTTCTCTGATTGGGTCATTTTCAGGCAGGTTCTGATTGGGTCGTTCTTTCTGTTTGGGTGGTTTTGGGGCACAGGTTCTGATTGGGTGGTTTTGGGGCACAGGTTCTGATTGGGTTGTTTTCGGGCACAGGTTCTGATTGGGTCATTCTCTCTGATTGGGTGGTTTTAGGGCACAGGTTCTGATTGGGTTATTTTCTCTGATTGGGTCATTTTCAGGCAGGTTCTGATTGGGTCGTTCTTTCTGTTTGGGTGGTTTTGGGGCACAGGTTCTGATTGGGTGGTTTTGGGGCACAGGTTCTGATTGGGTGGTTTTGGGGCACAGGTTCTGATTGGGTGGTTTTCGGGCACAGGTTCTGATTGGGTCATTCTCTCTGATTGGGTGGTTTTGGGGCACAGGTTCTGATTGGGTTATTTTCTCTGATTGGGTCATTTTCAGGCAGGTTCTGATTGGGTCGTTCTTTCTGTTTGGGTGGTTTTGGGGCACAGGTTCTGATTGGGTGGTTTTGGGGCACAGGTTCTGGTTGGGTGGTTTTGGGGCACAGGTTCTGATTGGGTCATTCTCTCTGATTGGTTGGTTTTAGGGCACAGGTTCTGATTGGGTGGTTTTCGGGCACAGGTTCTGATTGGGTCATTCTCTCTGATTGGGTGGTTTTAGGGCACAGGTTCTGATTGGGTGGTTTTCGGGCACAGGTTCTGATTGGGTCGTTCTCTCTGTTTGGGTGGTTTTAGGGCACAAGTTCTGATTGGATTGTTTCTCTGTTTGGGTGGTTTTGGGGCACAGGTTCTGATTGGGTCGTTTTCAGGCACAGGTTCTGATTGGGTCATTCTCTCCGTTTGGGTGATTTTTGGGCACAGGTTCTGATTGGGTGGTTTTGGGCACAGGTTCTAATTGGGTTGTTTTCTCTGATTGGGTGGCATTTGGGTACAGGTTCTGATTGGGTGGTTTTGGGGCACAGGTTTTAATTGGGTTGTTTTCCCTGTTTGGGTGGTTTTGGGGCACAGGTTCTGATTGGGTGGTTTTGGGGCACAGGTTCTGATTGGGTCGTTTTCTCTGGGTGATTTTGGGGCACAGGTTCTGATTGGGTTGTTTTCTCTGATTGGGTAATTTTTGGGCACAACTTCTGATTGGGTTGTTTTCTCTGATTGGGTGGTTTTGGGGCACAGGTTCTGATTGGGTTGTTTTTTCTGCTGGGTGATTTTTGGGCACAAGTTCTGATTGGATCGTTTTCTCTGATTGTCTTGCATTGCCAGCGACAGCAGCCTGAGCCATAAAGCCACAGTAATCCTCTATGCAAATGTGGTTTCTCTGCTCTCCTACATACTAATTGCTTGTTGCTTCATCTGCAGTTTACAATCACACACGCCGTTACTCCCTCGCAAAGACAAACTACTAGTTTTTAGACATGCAACATGCAAATATCATGGGATATGAATATCCCTTCATTCGTTCGTGTTAAA